GGTATTAACCTTTTTAAGCTGGGGCCAGTTCCAATCTGTTGAGACCAGCAGCAGACCGACAAATATTGTGTACTTTACAATTTTTTCCACTATCAGCCACACCCATTCTATTTACAGCCAGTGGATTGGAAATAGAAGGTGTACTTTCATATATATGTGCAAAATACCACCTCAGCCCTACGACTGGGGTAAGAAAATTTATAATTATGGCACCTCTCAATTGTCGAAAATGGCATTCTCAGACTTACATTTGAATACAATTTTCTTTTCTTCTTTTTTATTTTATAATAATAAAAAAAAAAAAATGCATGCACTTCAGGTTCTCCTAACCCTAGCACAAAAAATCATGTAAGAATTTAAAAAAAAATTCCAATTCAAGAAATTTTCTGACGAGAAGTTGGATACCCCCGAAAAGGGCCCGCATTTACCTCTGCCCCACCATGATCGTTAGACATTGCATCGTATCAGCACTCCCCCCCACACTAAATCTATTATCCCCATCAGTCTCCCCCTCCCTATATCAATACTGTACGCTGCTAGATACAGTGAGCTATACTCAGAAAGCCAGACTCTAGATCGAGTAATGCTGTTTTATTAACTTAACAGAAAAACTTTCTCTAAAATTGGCTGGAAAAATGATTTTTAGCAATGTGGCGTCGGCCAGATGAAAATCTTTGGCGGGCCAGAGTTGGCCCGCGGGCCAGGGGTTGAATACCAGGTCTATCGATCTTCCTCCAGTTTAAGACCATTTTTGGGATCATTTCATGGTCTGGTCTTTAGTTGCTTTTCTCTTCAATTTCAAAAAAAATTTTATTGGAAAGATAAAAGGTAGGGGTTCATTTTGGGCCGGGCTGACGAAAGGTGAACTTCAATTAGAGGTGGTTGTTAATTGGAAGTGCCTTTTTAATTAGAGGTAGACAAGTATTATGTTTTTAAAACTTTTGCAATGTATTCATTTGAAATTATAAACGACTGTTCTTTATAGTGTTGATAGGATAAGCACATACACAGTACCCCAACAATGAATTATGAGTTCCATTTTTTAATTAAAAGAACTGTGATGGAAAATGTTTAAATAGTAAATAATATCAGCAGTTTCTAGTTTTGCTTTAAGGTTATGTGAAATGAGAATGGAAAACAGGAATTGTAATTGAAACACTATGGGTGTGTATAGCTACTAGTTAAAAGAAAACATCTATAGGAATGGTTCTTTCAAAGAATAATTTTCTGTTGCTATGAAAATTGGCTGATAAAAAAACCTAATTCATTTATCATGTTGAAGTAACCGTTCTTTGGCATGAAATCATTTTGTTGTATGTACTAGCACGTCAAGAATGATTTCTCAGGGCATAGTTTTTAGTTATAAGGATAAAATAACTGTTTCTATCTTGATTTTCAGTAGAAAGAACCATACCTTATGGTAGTGAAACTGTTTATCACAATTATTTTGCTATCTTATTCTTACAACTTCCTCACTTGATTCCAAAAAGCATTTATCTAGTTACCCATGACCTATTACCTTTTGCCAGTTCCTAGGCTGTGACTAATCTCATCATAATAAGACAAGAATATGAAATTGATTAAGTCCCCAAATTTTAAATTTGTTAGAATGAATTGTACAGTATCTTTATATGATTACATTTGTATCTAAATTTTGCATGGACAAATCTTAGGATAAAGAATAAAGTATGAGTATATTCACTGTCTATACCTAAAAACATTAACCATAACATTACGTTGTTTACTTTTGCAATTTGGATAGCTTTCAATTTAATTGTAGAACGAGAATGTATCTCTCTAATTAATGATGTATTAATAATAGTTAATACCTATTCCTATATTACCGTATTCGAATAAACGCCCTGTTTGTTGTTGAGAAGTGTTTTGAGGGGGCGTTTATTCGAGAAAGGAATTTATTTTTTGTATATACTGTATATATACTCAAATAAATGCCCCTTAATTTCACTCTAAATGTGGAACTACAGTACAAACCATTTCTGTCAACATGTGTTACAGTATTGTGTAAACATAAAAAGATTATTTAAAAAGATAAATCCTAACCTGGTTAGATAAATATGTTATTCTACTGGAGTAGAACTATATAGAATGTGTTCAGAATGATGTTGCTTCCATTAGTTCTATTTACAGTCATTTAGGGGGAGAATTTATTTGCAGAAAAAATAAACGTTATTCTAATTTAGAGCAAAATAAGACTGTGGAAACCCCGGTCTCAAACTTGGTCTTTTAATTGGAGGAAGACCTGTAGCTAAGAGTTCAGTTGCACATTGAAGCGCTTTATATTTTTTTTTCTTCCGATATGTTATAGGCTCCCTATTTTTATGTTTGTGAACACTGTGGTGGAATTTAAAAGTTGGTGAAGGTCTTCTTATGTACAATAAACTCCTTTTTTTTTAAATAGAAATATAATTCTCAGCTTATTTACTAGGTTCCTCATGGAAGTTTGTAACTCCCATTTTCACTGATTATGGAGTACCCATTATATTTTATAATTAGTTTTATTCTAAGCATAAGGTTTTGCACACTTTTTAAAATTGAACATTGGAGGATTAATGCCAAATTTTTGATATAATATTGTAAATGTCCCTTTACTGAACTGTTCTATTCTTTGTCATTAATTTTATGAGGATAGATACAAAGATTAAAAGATTTAAGTTTCTTTAAATTCATTTTCATGTTACATAATCTTTATATTTTTCAGCCAGCAGAACCGGAAGGGGACGTGTCTATTCTGAAGGTCAGAATTAAAGAGGGAATTGGTCTTGCTAAGAAGGATATCTTTGGAGCAAGGTACTGAGGCCTATTGACTCCTTATCTTAAATTGGTTTTACAATTTAAGTAAAAATTTATGACTGATGAAATTAAACATTTCTTCTTCATACCATATAGAGTAAATTAAATAAAATGAAATGGAAATAAGAAAAACTTTTTCTTTGGCCTAAATAGAGCTTCTGATATTATTATTATGTTTATTTTTAAATTATTTTTAGTTATAAAATAATCTGCTTTAAAAAATGAACAGAACATTTCATCATGACTTAACAAATGAATGTCTTCATGCTATGGAGCGTGGTGAAATGACTGGTACTGTTTTCATTGATCTCAGTAAAGCATTTGACACTGTAAACCATACAATTCTCCTAGATAAACTTAGGCATATGCATATGTCTGCTTCTGTCATTATGTGGTTTACATCTTACCTAAGCGATCGACGTCAATCTGTTAATATTGGTGGGAAATTATCAAAACCTTTGCCATTAAACACTGGCGTACCACAAGGATCGATTTTGGGACCACTGTTATTTATTATTCCAGTGATCTGTCACCTTGTATGCTGTCTCTTATACACATCTAGATGTGTATAAGAGACAGGACCAAGAATGTAAAATTATCCCTTAATCAGGGGCCAAGAAAACGAAATAGGCCGTCCAAAATGGAAGCCAGTGAGAGTGGCCCTAGCCAATGGGCGGGCCACGTCCACTCGGGGCCACGTCCCCTCCCAAAGATAGGAAAACAAATAGAAAATCATGATCTTTAGAGGGCATTTAAAGGTGTTTAAATGTTGGAATTTTGTCTTCAAATGAATAGTGTTTTAGACTATTGCTGCACTGTATGGGGAAGTCGTTACATATCCCACAATGCCTTACTTAACAAATGTATAAAAGTAGCTGCTAGGATAGTTTTAAAATGTAATTTTCTTACCCCATCTGCAGATATGTTTGCACAACTCAGTTGGCTTTCGTTTTCCGAAAGGGCTACGTATAAAAAGCTATACTTGTTTATAAATGCATTAACCGATTAACACCTTTATACATGACAAACTTTTTCACATAGTATTTGCAAGCTCGTGAAAGAGACAGTCAACTATTATGAAGTTGAAGGTTCCTTTTTCGAAAAGCGAAAGTTATTCGGGGCGAATATATGATGACTTAGATATTGATTTGAGAACTGCGACTTCTCTAAACATATTTAAATACAAATTGTACGAGGCACTAATTAAGAAAATATAATCAGTGGAAATCAGTGTTTTAACTGTTTGGGCTACCCTGGGTAAATAAATGTAAATAAATAAATAATAAAATAAATCATGATTAAAAAAAAAATTTATGACAGTTCAGATTTTTTGTGATTTACATGCTATCTAATACTCAAATTGAATAGTACATGTTACCATAATAAACTTGCAGTGTGTGAATCAACATTTACAGTATTTATAATCAAAATAAATCTTTAAACTGATTATAGATTTTTTATAAATGGTTAAATATTTTCTGTTTTTTTTTTTATAATGATCTTCAATTCTAAATACAGCTTCTATATTGTACTCATTTTTTTCTTTATTCAAAACAATTCTGCTAGTAGTATTGTGACCCTATAGTGTTTGAGAAATACAATGAGATCCAGACACCATGTAAAGCTGATCGTAAAAGGGTTTTATTAGTCAAATGCGTAACCACAAGACGCAGCTCGTCTCTCTCCCTAGTCTCCTCCTATCCTATCAGGCAGCCCACAATACTATTTCGCGGGACCATCCCATAATATGTATGTTGAATATTTGAAAGGTTACAGTATTACTAATTACAATATTACCATTCATTTTGGAATGAATATTAATTCTTGTTAATGTTGAATGCATTCCAGAGAGACCATTAGGACGTCAGTTTCTTTGTTTAGCTGTCTACTTGTCCTCGATTTGTCTGAACCACATGCGTTTGTAAGAAATGAGTGATAGGGTTGACTGATAGTGACATTGAATAATTATCAAACATTGTTTGTGTCAGTGTCTTTAAAAGCTGCACTGTCTGTGTTGATCTACTTTAATAAAGTTATTATGGTCTGGTTCACACTAGATCCTTTTGATCCTGATTAAATGCTAACCGTTAACTTAACCGTTAGCACTGCGTGTGAGAACGCCCAACCAAGATAGGCCAATCAGGATCGGTTAATGGATCTCGGATATTATTTTTCTTAAGTATCCGGTCCTAAATATTTTGAATAAGTATGAAAAAGGTCCTCTGCTTCCATGACCAAATGCCCATGCTTCAGCGAAGTAAAGTCTACATAAGGGTGCAATTTTCGCTTCATTCTTTATGGTATGTACATAAGCAGCCAAACAGTATAATACAGGAAATAGCAAAGCTAACCAAGCTTGGCTCCTCTTAACTACAAACAGTCATAAAATCAAAATCATTAACACACTTAAATATCATAATAAATGTAAAAACTGGTCAACCATGTTTAACCATCACCTTCCTAAAAAAATCAACAATAACTGTTAATTATATAAAACGTACTAAAAATCTAAAATCTATCACAAACTTGAGAAGAATAAGAGGTAAAATTTGAGGTATGTCCTTCTATTCATGGATGTCTATGAAACAACATATTACAACACAGGCTGCAAAGGACGTACAGCGTTTAGTAATTTGTTTTCACATGCGGTTTGTAGACTCGCACTTAAATACTGACGTTAATGACTCCCTTTTTAGTTAAAAGTACATCATCATCATTTTAAGCTACAGTATCAAGATCGATAATTTCATGTCTGAAGATGAAGCTGACCTTGGAAGTATCTATCACGAAAAATGCTAACCGTTAGTAACGGTTAGCGTTAGTGTGTGAGCGTAGCTATAACTAATAATTCAATAGTGATGTCATCATTTTACCTTCCATGTACAGTAATTTTCCTATTTCCGGTACGAGTATTTTTCTGCATGTTTGCAAAAATCACAAACAAAACTGGTTACTGTACCTTGTTATTGTGAAGAATATTTCATTGTTAGGCCAAGCCAAAAGCCTTTATGCCAATTTCTTCAGGGAAAAATTCTTCTTGGATTTTGTTTTTCTAACAGCACCCTCAATACATGACAATCTGCTTTCGATTGAAAATTAGATGAGGAAAATATTTTAATTGCCAGTTAACGCATACAATGTACTGTAAAATAACAGCTTCATATTCTATCCATAGATACTTAAATCGTCTGGTACATATGATTTTCTTAATATAATCTGTAAATCTGCAATTTACTGAATTGTTTTTTATCAGTCTTATTAGAATTTGATCAAACTATTATGGACGAATACTCAGAATGATCAGATGTCTTTCTATACATCTCCATCCCATTTTTTAGGAGTTGAATGTCTATCCCTTTACTCTATCAGATCTAATACAAATTTTAAAAATTATATTTACAGTGATCCTTATGTCAAAGCAACGCTTATTAAGGGGGGAGGGAGTTCTGATGAGCTGATGTCTGTACAGACGAAGACCAGGAAGAAGGTAGAGTCAAACTACTTTAATCTATCAGTTGAAAATATTTTAATAAAAATGTCTTGTTTATCATTTGTATTGAGTGAAAATTAATCCATCTGTTAAATTAAAAGATCCTGAGTTCTCTAACCTATGTTTGGCAGTGATACTTCCCATAGCATAAATCACATTCAGCCATGTTGTCTATAGCTATGTCCACACTATCACATTTTTATATGACATTTGTGTGATGTACCCATATATGGACATGATGATATCATATTATATCCAAATATGGGCATAACATTTATTTGTCACATAAAATTTAATAGTATAGACAGTCCTCAATAAAGGAATGAAATGACAATCTTTATCATGGTACTAGAGGTGGCATCAGTTTTTTTTTTTTTTTTTTTATGCAAGCAAAAATCTTTGGCTGGTGATATAAAAAGGATCCTGGGCTTATTCTACAGTAGTAAATCCAATGTTTTACTGTTGGTTATTAATAGATGTGAGCCATTCGTTCTCATGCAGAGTATTGAACGTTGTTGATTAAGAGTTCAATTTCCACTGTTGACAGCTAACCTATGTTGTGACCTTCAAATTTATAGTCAAGAAAATTTACAGTATATCTAATTATATGAGCATTAGTTTTACCTCACTGAAATGTAAACATAATCTATCACAACATTGTGTTGCACACACATTTTCATGAATCGATCCATTTTCAGATGTATTTCATCTTCAGAACTGTGTGTTTATAGATTGGCGGCTCTAGGATATATTTTCTGGGGAGAAGGAAAGAGGGGGTGGGGTGCTAAGCTGTCCTTTCCCCTGGCGCTGCCACTGTGTTTATAGTATATCTTACAACCATACTTGCATGTCTGGTCCCATTGGCATTCCAATGTGCATTATTCATATATTTGCACATATGCGCAATACATCATAACCCTAATGGCAAATTTAAATAAAGTTTAAAATGTGTATTTTTCTGAGATGACAATTGAAGAAAATCAACAGTTGTTTATAAACAGTTGTTAGCTGAATTGTTACAAATTAAGTAGAAATTTCATCAAAAACGCTTTCTTATACTAGTAAGTTGACCATAGTCTATTATGAATATTATTTAAGCCATAAACCACACTTTTAGACTTATGATATTTACTCATGCATAGATTTGCAACTCATTTAAATATGACTGTTTTCAAATGAGACTGAGCAAATATTTGACAACTACTTCTTCAAATTTTAGGGATGTACCTTCTCACAAAAAATATGCAGTTTCTGAGTTGGTTAGTATAACATTTCCATTATTCTCCACAGACTCTGAATCCAAAATGGAATGAAGAATTCACTTTTACGGTAAGTCAAACACTAACACATATTGTCTTTTGAATTAGGACGTGGTAGTTAGTACAACATTCGAAGTTGATACAGTACTATTCAAATGACCGTATTTATTTACAGGACAACATTCGTTGAGAGCTGTGTTACACGATGTACAGTCATGTCCTTTATTCTAATACTGTATTTACTTTTCTTTGATTATTTAATAGTTTAACAGTGTTAATGGCTATCTTGATAATATATATATCTGTCTCTTATACACATCTAGATGTGTATAAGAGACAGACTACACATAGATAATATACCTGTAATATGAGGTGTATGTACCCACTCATATGGACGCAGGATGACCTTGAAAATCACTAAAAAATATATTGCTTTGACCATTAATTTGTTATTACCTTAACTTAAATATAAAATTATGAAATTTTAGTATAATATTTATTGGATAACACTTTTATAACAGTGGCACTTGTTAGACAATACCAAACGGTGAATTAAAAAAAAAAATAAAAAAAAATAATTGATGTACGGTGTGTATGATAATTATTGATTTAATCTCAGGTAGTAACCTTTGACCACAAGGTGAGAAGTAAAGCTAGGAATTAATTAAGCTCCACACCTGGACTTGTGGTCATTCATGAGTACATTTGAGGATTGTGTGAAATATGATTCATAATAATAATAATAATAATGTACTATAATATTGCACATGCACAAGAAATCTGTCACAAGGTTCTATGCCCTGGCCACTGAATATCAAAATACTTTGTATTTTTTAAAGCTCAGTTCATACTATCAAATTTTATGTGACAAATTTGTGTGATGTGCCCATATATGGGCACGATGATGTCATACTACACCTAACTATGGCATATCACATTTATTTGTCACGAACAAATTGCTAAGGTATGGGTAGAGTTTTAACTCAACTGTAGGGAGTATTACAGTTACATTCATTCTTATTCTAATAATATTAAAATATTATTTTAATTCTTTTATTACCAAACAAGAACATAACTATGACAATTATACAGAAAATGAAAAACAAGACTACTGAGCTGATTGGCAGGGACACTAAAGTGAACTAAATCACTATAAAAAAAAAGTTTTTGTCTCTCATAAACCCTATTATAATATAGAACATTCACATCATAAAATACTAGGTACAGACTATTTTTATTATTAATTAGGCAAGACTTCTTTATACCTTGTTTACCAAACCTGCCACCCAACAATAATGATGATTTTGAAAAAAAAAAAAAATTTTCTTTTTCGCTAATTGGCGCACCCGCCATTATGAAAAATGGAAATTTCAGAAAAAAATAAAAATGTTTTCTTTATATTTATTACACCCGCAGCTCCCTTGAAGTCTCCAAAAATAAGATATGCATATTTCTACCTAATTAAATCAATTTAAAGCATTTAAGCATCCCATTACTACACTGTTTACATTCAACAATAACATTTTTTTTTCCTCCATCTGGATGTTTTCGGAAAAATTATAGAAAACAAAATTTAAAAAAAAAATTTCCCCCCCCCCCCTGACGATGTTTGCGAAACAAGGAATAAAAAAGGTCTCGCCTTAGTGACATGTAGATAACCTGCCAAGATGATTGTTTTTATTTTCACTCTTCTGTGTTTCCTAATATGGTGTAAGGTGCAATATAAGTTGGACGCAGGGTTCCCGGAACGCCGCCGTCAGCGGCGAGTGCGAAGCACAACTCAGGGTCAAAAGTGGAACGTGAAATTTGGATATGGTTTTGTAGTCAGATTTGCGAGAAAAACTTCAGCTACCCGTATTTCTCGACTGAGACGTTGTAATTTGTATGGCAAGGAGATTGAGCAACCCTTCATTCATATTAAGGGAATTTACGCCCAGAAACTTTGTAGTTATTAATATTTTGGTTATATTAGAAAATATTTATTTTTTGGTGACATCACACTCACATTAGTTAGCATGCATACGTCATAAGCTAGATACGTCGCCCTTTCCTGGTAAGGCAAACTTTCCCGGCGTGCTTTTTTCATGGATAAACAAACACCACTGCTTTGCACGTGGATGCCTTGCCCAAGCCAGGGCTACAAGAGCCGCATTGTTAGCATTGTATAATACATAAATAATTAAAGGTACCTCTGCAAATGAATTATTCTTAGTTATTTTTTTTTTCTTATTTTAATTTATTTCTTCCGAAAGTGTACTTTCTATCACATATAATTTCACTGTCTTAGTTAGGCCTAGTCTTATGCCTCATCGTCCCCCGCTACACAGTACATCAGCAGCCCCTCCCCATACAGTACAGACGTTTGCTAGGTAACAACGTGATTGCACCTTCCTTCCCAGGTGTTGATGTAACATTGACATAATTGTTAGCTAACCAGATGTGTGTATTTCTTTGTGAAAATGAGTACCGCGGCGTACTCATTTTCACAAAGCATTTGCATCCCCTCTTGGAAAGAGGGATTTGAAATAATTGTCTCCATATCTTCGCTAATTAAATTAATCACCGTAATTTAGCTTACACTTATGAATTTAGGGAGCACTTAAATGTGAAATAATCATTTCACTACCGACAAACTCCGAAATTTATTTATTCATTAGGCCTACATAATAGTTTCATATTGCTCTACTATTAATACTCCAACATCACTGGCGCATGGTAACAACCAACTGAATGCAGAACTTTTCTGGTCACACATTACTCTCCATAACACAGCACCCCCTAGTTCCATCACCTCTGGATTTTTCTGTATTGTAAAGCTGTAATAGTGTAAAAATATTCATTTGCTTGTTTTATGAATTTACTTTTTAGGTGAATCCAAGAAACAACCGACTGCTTTTTGAAGTGTTTGATGAAAACAAAGTTGTAAGTTTCATTAAAATTTGATTGTTTTACACAGTTACAGTAATACTTGCATTACTAGTAAATTATGTGTTCTCTCTAAAATTACTCAATCCCCTGACCATTCCCTTACATTCATGTTTTCCACATCAACGATCTTTCCCCATCATGTTACGTAATTTTGAACCTACTACCTTCCTGCCCTAACATGCTTGAACTTTTGATTTCATGATTTTTTCCCCCTTTGCTCTTAGCCTTTCATACAACCTCACTCTCAATCTCACCACATACTCACCCGATTTTCTTATGTAGGCATTATATTTAAGCTAAAAATTACCCCTTCATTGTATTCATAGTTATTGTGTATTTGACGGGATATAGCTTTTGATGGCTGATGTTGCAATAAAATTGAATTGAATATATCCTAATATAATATATATACTTACTTTATAATCATCCTATCATAATTATAGGCCTTTATATTCATTTGTGTATTTGTTGTACTTTTTGCTTGCAATTAGATTTAATTACTTTTCGTTTCTGTTTCATTATTTTTTTTTTTTTTATGTACCATTAGGTATTACGTGCCACTATTGCGAAAGTGATAAATGAATATTGTATTGTGTTGTACACACAGCTTTTGTTTATGCTAACTAAATTAATATAAAATACTGTATTACATGATTATGTTGTTTTTAGACAAGAGATGATTTCTTGGGACAAGTTCAAATTCCTCTCTACACAGTACAACCTCAGAATGCCAACACCTGGAACAACCACAAAGATTATATACTTAGACCACGAAGGTGAGTTGTTTGAACAACATGCAATTTTTACCAGAGTTGATTGAGTTTGCATGTTTGTGTAAATGTGGAGGATAATCGGTTGATTTTAATTCATTAATCTAGTTTTACACAATTTCTATTGGAGTTTTTCACTTCAGCGAAATCAGTACTTCGAACTGTTTGTTCTTTTTGCGAAGGGAAAAATGCGCAACCAATCAGAGCTCAGGAAGCGAACCAAAGCTTTTAATTTGTGCGAATAAATTTGCCTAGGGGAAAACTGGCTTTAGGTTCATTCTTTGATGATCCAATTAATATTAGAAATATTAAGAAACATAATCAATCCAAATATTAGATATTGCATCCAGATTAATTTTTTAAATAATCATTTTTGTTGAGGATATGACTCCTTAAGGCCACAACCTCTACTATGTTCTTTAAACACAAAGTTAAAGAATATTTTATGAATGCGGTGTAAAATGTAAGTCTATTTCATTATCTTCAAATGATAATAGTGGTGATAATAATAATGATAATAATTATTGTTTATTATTATTGTTATTGTTATTATTAAAAATGCAATATATATTTATTTGTTAAATTATATTTAATTTTGATTAATGATGTCTAAACTGTCTCTGTTAAATCGTCAAAAGGACTTTAATAGATAGAAATATTTTTCACTAATTATGTGAAACTTTATCTAATTATCCTTGGTTCATTTCGTTCTCTTGTTTCCGTTGCGTGACGTCATCTGTTTTTATGATAATTTTTTTTGTTGTATTTTGAGATTGTTTTTCGTTTGCATTTTATTGTACTGTATTTGAACCAAATAAATTCAATCAATCAATCATAGTGGGAACATTTACAAGTGTATTGAGAAACATGAAGAAGTGCCTTTGGCTACACCTCAAACAACCATGCTTTTTATTTTAGTTTTTTTTCTAGCTCACCTTAGTAGCTTTACAGTGCATTTAAAAAAAAAAACTGTAGTTGCCTTGAGTTGATTATTGCAATTGAATTTCTCTTTGGTCATCTTCCATATGTCTGTACTTGTAAGGTCTATGCAATGCTACATTTCATCAAGCTTTACCATTATATAACAATTACTCACCTATGGATATACTGTAGCACTGTCTTCTTTATTAAGTACTTATTACGATCCTCATCCTAGATTTCTTTTATAGTGCTAGGTCAAGGGTCAAAGGTTTCTTGCGTATGACATTAGCTTACACCGGTGGTGCTGCTTTACAAAATAGCCTTATGACTGATGAGGTAAGTGGCTCTAATCTGTAATATATTTCTTTATTTCATTTACATATTCTCTACATTTTGATGGATTGCTAAGCTCTCTTTTACATTGGCCATTTTTGCAGGATCAATCATGTACATATAAAATTCTTGTTTTCTCTCTAGAGAATTATTGTAGCCCTTGCATTTAATTCAGCACAGATAAAATGCCTTTATGATGAGTATTTGCCGTTTTTTAAATTATTATTTTCTTCCAAATTCTTTTATGTTGAGAGTTAAACTATATAGTATATTCATACGTGGTTGCATAATACAGTATTAATAGTATAGCCAACCCAATTGATTATAATTTTCCATTGAAGTAGTCTTCAAATGTAAAGTAAGATAAAATATAATCTTGGATTTATAAATTGTGTTTAGCAGTATACATACATAAAGATATTAAAATGAGAGAACAAGCCATAATATGGTGAAGCATACATGTTAATTAGAATAACTAAAATGCTTGAAATAATAAACTGGTGAGATATATACAATTTCACAATGTATAACCATATATAAAGCATGAAAAATACCATAGACAACAGACTATTTAATATTTTTTTTGTGTAAGGATAATAACATTCATTGAAGACTAGATTAGATAATCATTTTTCAAGAATGTCTTTTGTTGCACAAACACTCATTTTGTTCTATTTATAGCACAGATCCCAAAGAATACTATTTTGCTATAATAATAATAATAATAATAATAATAATAATAATAATAATAATAATAAAAGAAGAGGATAAGGCGGGATTTTTTTTATACCTTTCTTCGCCAAACTTCTTTTATTGAAGATTGTCAGAGGAGGGCGGGAAAAAATATTTAAATAAAATTTAGTTTTCTTATGTTTTCTTACTAAGCAACTCATTTTGCTAAAAACATCCAGATGGAGGATAAAATAAAAATAAAATTTTATTGTTGAATGTAAACAGTATAGTAATGAGATGTTTAAATGCTTTTAGGAAGAAATATACATATCTTACTTTTGGAGATTTTAAGGCAGCGGCAGGCCTAATACAAATAAAGAAAATCCTTTTTTTTCCCCCTGAAATTTCAATTTTTTTTTTGTGATGGCAAGTGCACTAATTGGACAAAAATTCAATTATATTTTTTATTTGATTGTTGATACGACATACCACTTTATGTACAAGTATATGCCAATGCATAATGGGAATCCTTAAATTCTTAAGTATTTATAGAAAGTACTTAAGTGTACACAAAAATCACTTGACATTTAGTAGAACACAGAATGCAATGAGCTGGTGTTTTGGTAGGTATTTAGTGACTTCATAGCTTAATTGCATATTCTGGTACACTGTAAGCTAAGGCAAATAATATGTTTAATTAAAATATATGCAATTTGCTTCTCACAATTTTAAAATGTAAAGTAAATTCATTAAAGGCAAGCAAAAAAAAAAAAAGAAGAAGAAAAAATATTTTGCTTGTATGATAACTTTTTCGTGTTGATGTTGAATTGTAAGTGTATTTATTATGATAATAAATAATAAATTTGTGAGAAAAACGTATTGTCTCCATTGGGATTTGAACCCAAAACTTATATTACCATTACCATTTGGAAAGTAAGTATATTTAGATAAATATCTTTCTCATTTCACCTAAACTTTCTTTTTATATCAAGCCTGACTGGGAATTGGTGGAATCAGAAAACTTAACAAACACACCTTCGACGTCTCGGCAAGAAGAGGGTCCTCCATTACCTCAGGGGTGGGAAGAGAGAACCGATGCCAACGGAAGGGTGTTCTACATATGCCACACGACAAGAACAACACAATGGCATAGACCAACAGAGTAAGCATACCATGCACCTTTATATACTCTCAAACTTAACACATATGCCAGAAACACGCAAGTTTACATTTACAATTCCACACACAGCTATGTTTCTCTGCAAATAGCCGTTGCTTTGTGGATTGAAAGGTCAACTGATTAATCTCAGATAAGATAGTATAATATAATACATACTCCAAGTATCGAAATGCACGCCATCATGTCGGGATTCAGTATTTCGACATTAATTATGTCATCATCAGGAATTAATAATTAATTTCTGATGATGACATAATTAATGTTGAAATATTGAATCCTGACACAATGGCGTGCATTTCGATACTTGGAGTATGTATTATACTATCTTAACTGCAATTAATTAGTGGACCCTTTGGTTTATAGTATAATACATACTCCAAGTATCGAAATGCACGACACGATGGTGTGCATTTCTATACTTGGAGTATGTATTATACTATCTTTGTGGATCCTTAAGCAAAGATATTCAAGAGGCAGGACTTTATGAAATGATCAATTCAAACTGCAGTCAGAACCTGAAGAATAAACAGGTGGTGAGGTGTGGGGAGGAATGTGTAGATTTTTAAAGCTTTTGAGCCTAGCAGACAGCATTTCTTGCAAAGCTGTCGATTACAGATCTTGTTTTTTTTAAAATTGGTTTTAGACCAAAGGCCAAGGATGTGCCAAGCAGCGAACTTAATCACTAATCAAAAGTTGGCATATCCCTACACAAGACAAACAGAAACACAAGATACTCTACATAAACTAAGTCTGAGTTGTTATTGTCACTACATTTTGATTGCAGGGCTACTCCCGATGTACCCCAGAGATCTGGATCTCAGTATGACAGAGCACGTGCTAATTACCAGGCAAGAAGGCATTTAAGCCAGGAAGATTCTGTCGATGGTGCTTCTCCTTCAAGAAGTCTTCCTAAAAACATGGCCTTACCACTTGAACCCATCCCATTCCCTACGGTATGATTGTTATTATTTTTATATAATATTTCCTGTCACAGTATCATTGTATTATATATTCATGCCTGTATACACCCTAGTATCCTCTTGAGCATAAGAAAAATCACTAATAAAGAATAATCCTTTACTTTCTAATGTCATTCAAATTGGTTACCTTCACTTTTTCAATAGTAGCCATTTGTTTACAGTCAATGGTTTAAAATTATTAATTTTTAATGTATTTCCCACCCGACTTACTTGCTCCCAAAATCTTTCTGTAACATGAATTTGCTTTTTATGAGTGACCCAGATCAGAAACAATGAAAACCTAGCACTTAATAGAAGCAATGTAAATGGCTTTTAAACATAGACATCTCAAAAGTTGATTGTACTTGCAAACTCAGTGTTGTGGTGTGAGTACCTGCATCCTGAAAAAAAAAATGCTTGTACCTCTGATTATGAAAGTTGTCTTGATAAAATGCTTCCTGCACCAAATCTGTATGTTATATATAGCCCAAGAGTTTGTATTTTTGAATTTTATTACCCAAAAATACCTCCAGTCTCACACTTTTTCCAGCCCTGGATACCTGTGTCAAGTATATATGACAGTGGCAGACTGTTTTTGTTACCTTCTTTGCTGTATGTTTTTGAATTTTACTCTTCAAGGTAAATGCTGAGACGCCAACTCACCAACCACATGATGCACCAGCAGACGACCCTCTAGGACCTCTTCCTCCCGGTTGGCAGATGCAGAAAGCACCTAGCACTGGTCGCTGGTTTTTTATCAACCATAACACACGCAAGACATCTTGGGTGAGACTGCCATTATATACTGTTTTTAAGGAAATGATAATTACAAATACTTATTAACTCTTAGAGAATATTCATGTGATTAATTTAATGATAATACTAATGATAACATTTACATTTATATTTTGAAATGGAAAACTTGATCACATGTACAGGTGATTTTTTCGAGGCTATTTATAAGTTTAAAGAAAGTTCATGAAAAATCATGTAAAATATGTTTAAAAAAAAGCTACAATAAACAGTTGTTATGAAAAATAATCAAAGTCTTGTTTGATGATACTGTCTCTTATACACATCAGATATGAAAATTTAGATATGATCAGTATTCATTTTAACACTACACATTTGTACAGTAATTAGATTTCCTGAGGGATGGTGTTCTCTAGGAAGTTTTAGACATCAGGAAGCCACAATTAACAAGATAGACACTAAAGATAAAGTCCAAAAAACTTTAAAATTCTACATAATGCATGACATATCCTAAATCTTTTGAGTAGTGAAATTGGTAGGGGGAGATACTTTCCCTGTGGTGCTGAAAGTTGAAAGCAAGCTTTTCAAAAATACATATACCCTCAAAAAATTTGGCTTAGTCTACATTGTCAAATTTTCTGTGACAAAAAAAATTTATATAGTCATGATATGTCTATATATATGGTCATGATGTGATGTCACTATGACCATATTTAATCACCTCACATGTTTTTGTCAAATAAAATATTTTAGTGTGGACATGATTAGTTGATGTTCCTAACCCTATGGTGATAAGTAATAGCTAGTGGTGTTTAAGCACTCTAAAGTGTACCATTTTTTTGTATATAATTCTTCACCACTTATTTTGTTGTGTTTTTAACTATATTCAGTATTTAAATAGAAGTTATATGTTGTATTATCATTTCTATAATGTCTAAAACCCAAATTCATTCATTTACCATGTAGTTAGGCAGTCAATTAAGACAGTTATGTACTGTAATAATGAATTAACTCTGTCTTATAGTGTACTGTCATTAAAACAGGCTAGACTTTGATTATTTAGTACGTATGTATTTATTACATCTAGGATTGATTTTTGTAATTACTCGCTTCTTTTTGGTTTGTCTTCTGGTAATTTAAGGCGTCTTTAACTTCCTCATAACTCTGCCGCCCGTGTTGTCACTATGTCTAGGAAATCACCCTGATTCTTAAAAACCTCCTCTCAGAAAAAGACTGTTGTTCAAGATCCATCTTCTGATTTTCGATTCCATTAATGGCCTTGCGTCTTTGTATCTTTCCTCCCTGGTCTATCTCTACACTAATTCTTGCCCAACCCATTCTTATTCTAACATGCTTTGTGTACCATGTCAGGCATGCCTGTACTGGTGAGCGATCTTTCTTTCTGTCAGCTCCTACACTTTAGAATTCACTACCAGCTGATCTTTGTAATATCACCTGTCCCCAGTTGTTTTTTATGAACTTAAATCTACCTGTTTTTGTACGTTTTCACTAAATCCGTTTTTCTGGTTTTTTTTATGGGATTCTCCTGTTTTGTAAATTTTTCTCTTTGGGCCAGTGGCAAGTTATTTTTAACTTAATAGGCGCTTTATAAGTTTTATTGCATTATTATTATTATTATTATTATTATTATTATTATTATTATTATTATTATTATTAATGTTATTATTATTATTATTATTATTATTATTATTATTATTATTATATAAATAGAATTTCCTTCTAATGAAATGGTCATCCATGAATTCTTCCATCTATGAATACCAAATTCTCTTTATACTGTGTGATTTTTTTCCCATAATTAATTACCTGATATATTTTTTTGTACTTTACTATTATATGCATCTAGTCAGATCAGATGAAATCCACATCCATACATTGTATTCTATTCTCAAAATGGCAGGTTCCCCATTGCTGAATGTGACTAAGATAAATACAATAAAAATGCTTGGTATGCTCTTCATAGGATATCCTGAACTTTTAGTCATAGGAATCACCCAAACCCATTACTCTTGTTTCTCAATCTAGTACCATGAACTAAATTATCTTTGATAGCACTTATACACAGCCATATGTCAAAAGATCACTGTGTCCAGTCATGCATATCATGGAGGAATTAGTTAAGAATGCTCACCAAAATCAATGAAATATAAACATTTATAAGAGGATCTGATCATTATGAAACTTTTAGAGTGAATGAATTTAGGATGTTTCATAAAAAAAAGTGAAGATGATTCACTCAAGGCATGAAGAAATAATAAAAAAAAATCAAATTCAAGCAAAATAGGTTGCTTTCCACAGAAATTGTTGTTCAGGCACAGTCTTGAGGTCATGGGTTCAAATCACGCCCTGTGCATTTTAAACATGTCCTTGAGTGAAACACTCTATATAAATTGTTCTCTGCAGAGGAGTAATGCATACTTGGTGGGTGGTATGATTGATTTGAAATTAAATTAGTCAGGTATATAATAGCTCCTTGAATAGGAATACATTCTGGTGTGTATATATATAT